AAGTTCAACTACGGTTGAACCAAGACTCAGGCTAAGCGCCTTCATCATTAAATCAAGGCTATGCGCCCTCGCCAAGAAGTTCAACTACGGTTGAACCAAGACTCAGGCTATGCGCCTTCATCATTAAATCAAGGCTATGCGCCTTCGCCAATAAGTTCAACTACAGTTGAACTGGGACTCAGGCTATGCGCCTTCGCCAGTAAGTTCAACTACGGTTGAACCATGACTCAGGCTATGTGCCTTCGTCATCAAAATTGACAAAGTTCAACAACAGTTGAACTGGGACTCAGGCTACGCGCCTTCGCCATTAAATCAAGGCTATGCGCCTTCGCCAATAAGTTCAACTACGGTTGAACCAAGACTCAGGCTATGCGCCCTCGCCAAGAAGTTCAACTGCGGTTGAACCAAGACTCAGGCTAAGCGCCTTCATCATTAAATCAAGGCTATGCGCCCTCGCAAAGAAGTTCAACTACGATTAAACCAAGACTCAGGCCATGCGCCTTCGCCATCAAAATCAACCAAGTTCAACAACAGTTGAACTGGGACTCAGGCTACGCGCCTTCGCCATCAAAATCAACCAAGTTCAACAACAGTTGAACTGGGACTCATGCTACGCGCCTTCGCCATCAAAATCGACCAAGTTCGACAACAATTGAACTGGGGCTCAGGCCATGAGCCTTCGCCACCAAAACCGACAGTTCAACAACAGTTGAACTAGGACTCAGGCTATGCGCCTTCGCCATGACTCAGGCTACGTGCCTCCAAATTGTATCAAGCCCATACGCCTTCGCCAGTAAGTTTAGCTACGGTCGAACCAAGACTCAGGCTATGCGCCTTCGCCATCAAACCCAACGAGTCCGACCTCGCTTGAACCATATGGCTAGACGCCTTCGTCCTCAAATCTAACAAGTTCAACCACAGTTGAACCAGGACTCGGACCAAGCGCCTTCATCATTGAACTCAGCGAAACCCAACCTCCAACGAATCGAGGCACAGGTTAGGCGCCCACGCCCTTCAAGTAAGTACTCCCAACTCAAACTAAGATTGGGGACATGTAAAGTCCGGCCCCGGTCAAACTGCAAGGCCGCGTTTCTGTCATCACGGCCGACAGTTCGACCGCGCCCGAACTGGGACTAAGGCTAAGTGTCGCTATCGCAAAGCAACGGCTCCGACTCGCTCACCTCGAGTCGAAGAAGAAAAGTCGTCAGCAATTAAAAACTAACAGGCCTACCAGGGTCGAACTTGAAGGCAAATCACCCCTTCGAGCGCATGCAAAGAACAATCTAAAGGGGAAAATGAGAGGTACAAAACAGATCAAAGCAAATAACGGAACAGAGATCTCATTATCCACGAAATTAATTGCGGGTCAGTNCCAGCCCTCGACGAGGCATCCCTCACCTGAAGCTTCAATACCACGACTTCACCCTCCAACGCAGTCACTTTCCCGCCCCATGCCGCAGCGGCCTCCGCCGCCTTAGCCTGGCCCTGGCGCTCACACTCAGCTGCGGCCCTCTTTACCGCCTCGAGCTCCTCATCCTTCCGGCGGAGCTGCTCCTCGAGAGCACTCATTCTGCCAAGTGTTTGCTGCATCTGAAGCTCCCGCCTCGCCAGCTCTTCGACCAAGGCTCGGCTACGGGGATCATTCCTCAAGCGCACGCGCAACTCTCGGCACTAATCTCAGTAGCGGCGATACTTCTCCAGCACCCGCAAAAATATCCCCGAGCGAACCTTGGCTCGACGGATGCTCTCCACCTCCAACAAATAAGACTACAAAGCAAAGACAACGATTAGGATAAAGAACAAACTTAAGGCAAAGAAGAAGCGAACCGACGTAATAGTACATACCCTCAAGCCCATCACGGCTACTTCATTCATCAGTCCGACATCTGTAACGCCCCTCAACGACGCATTCTCGGCCTCCGAGCATAGCAGCTCGAACTGCGGCACCAAGCTTTCCCCTTGGAGCAATAAGTTCAACTCCGTGGGAACCTCGATGAAGCGAGATCGCCCCCCTGCGCGCACCGCTGAATTGGTGGAGCCTTCATGGAACAAAAGGACGTCGTCGGGGTCCAAGTCGGATTCAGAC